TTAGACAGGCATATGGATGATAGTATAAGGTAGGGGTGGAGGTTAGATATACCTTATGATTAGGATAAGAGTTTGGCACAACATCGTGGGCTGAAGGGCCTGTACTGTGCTGTACTGTTCTATGTTCTATGTTCTATACAAGAAGACATACTGTATGTTTGTTATAAAGGGACAGCAATAATCATCAGTGACTTTAATCGACTGAAAAACTGGAATGATCAGATTGGTCATAGTAAATGAATGGAAAGGTTATAGAATGCTTTTGAGATTGTTTCTTAGAGCAGCTTTGGAACTGACCAGAGAGCAGGTTATACTAGACATGGCATAGTGTAATTTGGCAGGACTAATTAGTGACTTCAGAGTTAAGGCACTACTAATACGATTGGATTTTCACATCTAGTTTGAAAGGGAGAAGACTGTGCTTAAAAGTAGCATAGTAAATTTTAATGATGGTAGATATGAGGGCATGAATGCTCACCTAACTGATAATGAACTGGCAAATTAAGCTAGGAGATCAATCGACACACATTGACAGAAATTCAAGGAGATATTTCAGAATAGGCAGAATATGTATATTCCTGCTACTGTATTTAAAAAGAAGCCATCCATGGTTAAGTAAAACTTTAGAGAAAAACTAAAAACTTGAGGAAAAAGCATATAACTGCAAAGATGATTGGTCAGAATATGAAAAAAGTTAGAGATTAATTAAATCAAGCGGATAAAGTTAGAGTATGACAGGAAACTAGTTAAAAATATAAAAATGAATAGTAAAAGTTTCATCAGGTATTTTAAAAGCAAGAGAATAGGTGAAGTGAGTATTGATTCTCCAGAGACTGAGAATGGAAGTAGATAACATAAAAATGGTGTATTAATGGTGCATTTTTGCTTACGTCTCCTCTATGAAGGGTACAAAAACAATTCAGTAATAGCTGGAAATCAGGACGTGGAAAGGAAAGGGGAACTCAGCAAAATTACAATCACAGGGCAAGTGGCACTGAGCAAACTGAGGCCTGACACTATTTGATCCAGATGGATTTCGTCCTAGGCTCTTAAAAGAGGTTGCTGATATGGTGGCAGATGTGTTGGTGTTAGTTTTCCAAAATTTCCTACATTCTGGAAAGGTTCCATCAGACTGGAAAATAGCAAATATACCCCCCTCTATTCAAGAAGGGCAGAAGGCAGGAAACTATAGAGCAGTTATCTTGATGCCTGTTGTAGGGAAGATGTCAGAATAGATCATTAAAGAGATTATAGCACTTAGAAGCACTTATAGCACTAAATCGGGAAAAGTCACTGTGGTTTCATGAAAAGGTAATTGTCTTTAACCAATTTATTGGAGTTCTTTGTGGGAATGATATGCAATGGATAAAGAAGAGCCTGTAGATCTACTATATTTTGATTTCCAGAAGGCATTTGATAAGGTACCACACCAAAGGTTATTGAGGAAAATGAAAGCTCAGAGTGTAGGGGGTAACATATTGGCACAGATGGATGATTGGTTAGCTGGTTGGCAGGCAGGCAGAAAACAAAAAATATACCTAAATGGGTTTTTAGCAGGATGTGACAAGTGAAGTCCTGAAGGGGTCTATGTTAGTGTTTTTTTTTTAAACAGTTTATTATTTCATTTCTTAGAATTGTATAGAGGCCCTACAGTATGGGAACACGCCATTTGGCCCAACAAGTCCACACTGACCCTCAGAGCATCCCATCCAATTTACACCAATGACTTGGATGAAAGGAATGAAGGCATGGCATCTAATTTCACAAATAACACCAAGATAAGTAGGAAAGTCCTTTGTGAAGGAAACATGAGGCAATTGCAGTTGGCCGTAGATAGGCTGAGCGTGGAGGCAAAATGATTGGCAAATGGAATGTTGCAGGAAAATGTGAAGTTGTTCACTATGGCAGGAAGAATAAAAAAAACAGTATTATGTACGTAGAGAATAGCTACAAAGTTCTGAATTGCAAAGGGATTTGGATGTTCAGTCACAAAAAGTTAATTTGCAGGTAGAATACATAATCTCTAATGGAACATTACCATATTATTGCTGAGGAATTGAATATAAAAGTAAGGATCTCATGCTTCAGTTACAGAGGGAGTTGGTGAGATCACATCAAATATTGGTGCAGTCTGATCTTCCTTTCAGGAAGAATGTAAATGCATTAGGGTACTTCAGAGGAAGTGACCTCAACTTGAGACCTGGAAAGAGCAGGATTTTAACAAGGAAACATTGGATTAGCTGGACTTGATTCCATTAGAGTTTAGAAGACTTAATTGAAGTGTGAATGAGCCTGAATGGCCTTGGTGAGATGGATGTGGAAAGATTGTTTCCTCTTCTGGATCTGTCTGCAATTAGGGAGCACTCTTTTAAAATTAGGTTTCACTCGTTTCAGACAGATGTGCAGAAATCTTTTCTGAGAGTTATGTGACTTTGGAGCTCCTTGCCTCAAAATGTGGTGGAGGCAGAGTCATTGGATATTTTTAAGATAGAGGTGGATAGATTCTTATTAGGGAGGGTTTCAAGGATTATCGAAGATGATAAGATAGAGAATTTGTTATTCATTTAGGCTCTGATATTCATGAATGGTGAAGTGAGGTTGAGGTGAAGAATGGTGTTTTTCCTCCTACTTTGTATGTTCATAAGCATCCCACATTCTCCAAATGTGACAGAATGAAGTATTCATTATAATAGAGATAGTAGGAACTGCAGATGCTGGAGAATCCGAGACAACAAGGTGCAGGGCTGGATGAACACAGCAGGCCAAGCAGCATCATAGGAGCAGAGAGGCTGACGTTTCGGGCCTAGACCCTTCATCAGAAAAGGGTCTAGGC